CTTCTTACTGTAGGTGACGTCGTCCCTCGACCCCGACTCTCTGCTCCGCCCTTACGCACATCGAGGAGATTCTTGTTCGTTCTGAAGACCTCCGTCGAGCCTCGGTTCTCAACATTGCTGAGAACCGTCGACTGTACGGCTTGTCTGTGCTTCTTGACACCCCGCGCTCCCCAGTTGTTCCTCCTGCTGATATTCTCGGTGGTGAGTTGGGTTTTTCTCCCCCTCATTTTTTAAGCAAGAGTTGGGGAAAATGGGCGAGTAGTCCTTGATCTAGCCTCTCTTTTCTTGCAGCCGTACTGTCTTAAATGAGGTACACCATCCCGGGCAAGCAGAAGAAGAAGAGGGGGCAAGATCCCACCCCTGCGCCGCCGAGCCAGCTGCGCGTCCAGGTCACTTCATCCCCTGGCGTCATTGAGACTCCAGTTCGGGGGATGTTTGTGGTCGAGCCCATGGTCAAGAGAGCAAGGGTCGAAGTGCCCCAGGCTCGTGCTGCTATCGAGGGAACCCGTCTCATCCTTTTCGATGCTCAAATAGGGGAAAAAGCGTCGCGACATCTGTACTGGGGGATCCCTTGGTGATGCCGGGGTTGAAGATTAGTGACCCTGACTTCGCCGTAGCTGACATGGTCCCCTAGTACCTCGACGCTACTTTGCGGCTTCCTCCCCGCTTCAGCCTCCCGCTACAGGCCATATATTCATACTTCGACCCGGATTCCTGAGGCCTCCATGCCAGGAAGGGCATCATGGAGCATCAGCGTTTGACCGTGACGCGCCTGGTCTCGGTAAGCCTGACTTGTTACCCTTCGACATTTACCGGTCGAGCGCCCGATTTTAATGCCTTGGGACTTATTTTCCTGTTTGGGTTCTTCAGGCTCTTGAGATTGTGCTCCTGAACTACGTGGAGCTGGAACCCATGCTTGACCAGAACACGACGTTGAGAACTTCAGTTGAGGAAGTTAAGGCCTTGCGCACTGCTTGGGACGAGCTCTCCTTCAGCCTGGATGCCGAGAAAGCCAAGGTCCAGTCCCTGGAAGAGATTATGGAGAAGGAGAAGAACTTTCATGCTGGGTGTTCCTCGGCAGTCCAGGAATACCTTGCATCTCCCGTCTTCGAGAAGAAGAAGAGGGAGGTGTTAGAGGAGTTCCTGAGGTCTGAGACGTACAACCGCGCCGTCGACACCCGCCTGGAAGCCTTCAAGTTGTCCCCAGAATTCCAGCGTTTGGTCGACGCACAGGTGGAGCAATTCAAGGCTTCAGGGGCTTTCGAGGGCCTCGTTACTCAGCGACTTGAGGCTTACAAGGCCTCCACTGAGTTTGACGAGCTCCAATTGTCCTTGATGACATCTGTTGGTGACCAGATCCTCGACTGCTTCCGCAGAAAACGTCCAGATGTCGACCTGTCCTTCCTCGACGAGTCTGACAGTGAGGAGGTGGAGGTGGTCGATCTCGACCCGGAGGCTGGGAGCGTCGATCAAATACAGGCAGATGTTGAGCAAACGCCCAGGGACGCTGAGCAGACACCAGGAGATGGCGATGAGTCGGCGCTGGGAAGAGGTGGCGAGAAGGCATTGGGGGATGGGGCTGAGTAGTGACGAGACCATATGCTTTTCTCACGTTTTCCTTTACTTTTTGAATGGCCATGAGCCCGAGACATTATTTGCTGGTCTGTAACGACCATAAGGTCGAGACAAATATTTTTAATTATTTTTATATATATTCATGCTTGTTTTGCTCATTGTGTGTGTGGAGAATTTTTGGCTAAGTGTGGTTGGGCTCTAGTTCGACCACCTTTGCAAGTGTTTTTTTGGTGGTGGCGTCCCCACTTGCCAGAGATCGACGTAGACACTTTCTATTTATTCATTGCTTTAAGTACGGTTGGGCCAGAGCTCACCGACTTTGCAGGTTTTGGGGGGCCTTATTACCCCCTCGTCAAAAATAAAGTCTTGGACTTGTTTTCGACGCACCGTGGTCGACGTATCAATAGCATTTAGTCGACGTATCGACGTTTTTTGGTCGATGTATCGACATTTTTTGGGTCGACGTATCGACGTTGACAGCGGATGAGTGAACCAGTATGAGAATCAGTCGAGACGTAAAAAAGAGTTGGCTAAGTAGACAATGCAATTTACTTCTATTTATGTAGGATTTACAAGTCGATGCTCTTCACAAGAATAGATAACACGCGAAAAGTGCTTAACTTAGCCTCTTTTTTTTTTCTTTTTTGGTTTGGTCGACGTACCTCGCAATCATTGGTAGTAGACATTCAGCTGGTTCGCATTCCAAGTGTGTTTGAGGTCTCGACCATCAGGCTCTGCCAGTCGATACGACCCGTTGGCCACAACTTCCTTTATTCTGTAGGGTCCTTCCCAAGTTCTTGGGCTTGGTGTTTGGGGTTATCACCCGCAGGATAAGATCTCCAACCCTGAAGTGTTTCGGCTTGACTTTTTTGTTGTAGTACCTAGCAGTTCTAGCTTGGTACGCGGTGAGCCTTAGCTGCGCATCCGTGCATCTTTCTTCCAGAAGGTCGAGCTCTAGGTTCATCAGCTCGGCGTTCCTACCTTTCTCATATCGAGCTATTCGGCAAGTCGAGATAGAGACCTCGACAGGGAAAACTGCTTCGGCTCCATAGGCCATTGAGAAGGGGGTTTCCCCCGTGGTGGTCCTACTCGTTGTTCTGTAGGCCCACAAGACTTTTGGCAGCTCATCTGCCCATTTTCCTTTATAGGCCTTGAGCCTTCGCTTAAGCGTTACCTTTATAATTTTATTGACCATCTCGACCTGCCCGTTGGACTGTGGGTATACAACAGAGGAGAAGTTCTTATGAATTCCCAATAGTTCGCAAAATTGGTTGGTGTTGTCATTGTTGAACTGTCTCCTGTTGTCAGACACGAGAGAATGCGGTACACCAAACCGGCAAACTATGTTGTTCCATATGAAGTTAGTGCATTTCTCCTCTGAGATAGTCGCTAGTGGCTCGGCTTCCACCCATTTGGTAAAGTAGTTGACGGTGACAATGGCGAACTTATACCCTCCGGGGGTTTTGTGCAGAAGGCCAATAAGGTCAATCCCCCATTTAGCGAAAGGCCAGGGGGACACAATCGACGTGCGGTCCTCTGAGTGCAGTCGAGAGGTTAGGGCGTACCTTTGGCAGTTTTCACACTTCTTCGCATACTCGGCTGCATCCTTCTTGAGACTTGGCCAATAGTATCCCTGCCATAGTATTTTGTAGGCTAGGGACTGTCCCCCTGCGTGGTTTTCGCATATCCCATCGTGCACCTCTGAGAGCACCCTCCTTGATTCTCCCTCGCCGAGGCACCGGAGCAGGGGCGTCGAGTACCCCCTTCGATAAAGAAGATTGTCATGCATTGTGTATCTCGCCGCTTGATACTTCATCTTTTTTGCCTGCTGCCTGTTCTCGGGGAGTTCGCCGTCGACCAAGTATCGGAGATCGGGTCCATCCAGCTTGGTTGGTGGTCCACTGGCACGACCTCAAGCCTCTTCTCTGTGGTCGGGGCTTTTAAGACTTCTACGGGTACTAAGTTTAAGAGCTCGGCATCTTTCGACGTTGCCAACCTGATGAGTGCGTCGACATTGCTATCTCTGCTCTCGGGACTTGTTGTAGATCATAGGCCATGAACTTCCCCAGGGCCTCTTTGACCTTCTTTAGATAGGCGGCCATTTTCTCATCCCGGGTTTGGTACTGGCCCTTTGCTTGGTTCACAATCAACTGTGAATCACTAAAGATATCTAAGCTCCCTACTTTTAAGTGCTCCGCCAACCGGAGTCCGGCCAGCAGCGCCTCGTATTCGACTTCGTTATTAGACGCGGAGAATTCAAACTTGATGGCCGAAGTGATATTGTGTCCCTCAGGAGTGTGCAATACCAATCATGCTCCACTGCCATTGTCGTTGGAGCTCCCGTCGACGTAAAGCTTCCATCGTGGTGGTGCATTAGCCTCCTCAGCTCCATCCAGCAACCCCGCGAACTCTGCCACGAAGTCTGCCAGGGCTTGGCCTTTAATGGCAGCCCGCGGTTTGTAGTCGATATCAAATTGGCTGAGCTCTATGGACCATTTTAAAAGTCGGCCAGAAGCGTTGGGCTTTTGTAACACTTGCCTGAGAGGGTGATTGGTCAAGACTCGAATACTATGGGCCTGGAAGTAGTGGCGCAACTTCCTCGCTGTCACGATCAGTGCGAGGGCGAGTTTTTCCATCTGGGGATACCTCGTCTCAGCGTCGAGCAGTCGCTTGCTTGCGTAATACACTGGCAATTGCACCTTATTCTCTTCATGAATCAAAACCGAGCTAACGGCGTGTTCCGAGACCGCCAGATACAGGCTCAGCACCTCTCCAGTCACCGGTTTGGACAGCAGAGGCGGTTTCCCAAGGTGTTCCTTCAATTGTAGGAACGCCTGTTCACACTAATCCGTCCATTGGAATGGCTTGCTTCCTCTCAGGGTGTCGAAGAATGACACGCACTTATCCATAGACTTTGAAATAAACCTGTTAAGCGCGGCCATACAGCCTGTCAGCTTTTGGATTTCCTTGGGCTTCCTTGGCGATTTCATGTCGAGGAGAGCTTGTATCTTTCCCGGATTGGCCTCAATTCCTCGACTACTCACCATGAAACCCAAGAATTTTCCTGACGCGACGCCGAACGCACACTTGTGAGGATTTAGTTTCATTTTGTACGTTCTGAGGATGCCGAACATTCTCCTGAGGTCCTCGACGTGGTCCTCGGCTTTCTTGCTCTTTACCAACATATCATCCACGTATACCTCCATTGATTTTCCTAATTGTCCCGCGAACATTTTATTGATGAGACGTTGATAAGTTGCTCCCGCATTTTTTAGGCCGAAGGGCATGACTTTGTAACAGTAGAGGCCTCTATCGGTGACGAACGCCGTGTGCTCTTCATCGCGGTCGAGCATAGGTATCTGGTTGTACCCGGAGTATGCATCCATGAAACTCAATAGTTCGTGTCCCGCTGTGACGTCGACCATCTAATCGATTCTTGGTAGTGGGAAGCTATCCTTGGGACATGCCAGATCACTGAAGTCAACGCATGTTCGCCAATCCCCGTTGGGTTTCTGCACCAACACGGGATTTGACACCCATTCGGGGTATAGGACTTCTCGGATGAAATTGTTCCTAATCAGCTTGTCGACTTCTGCCCGCAGGGCCTCGTACCGTTCCGCGTTCATCGGTCGACGCTTTTGTCTTTCAGGCGGGCACTTCTCGTCGATGTTCAACCTGTGACACACTATATCGGGGTTTATCCATTCCATATCTTCGTGCGTCCAGGCGAACACATCGAGGTTGCTTATGAGGAACTCAACCAGTCCTTCACAGGTCTACCCCTCTGGCCCCGAGCCCACCTTCAGCCTCCTTAAAGGCTCTCTCTCATCGATGGGGACTTCGGTCAATTCCTCGACCGGTCTCGTTCCAGGCTCTTCCGTTGGGAGCCTCGGATCTAGGTCGAACCCTTCCGCTCTAGTCTCCACCATCCTCAGTTCTCTTCGTACCTGTGTCGGCTCGGCATAGTGGCGGACCGTCTCCGAATAAGTTAGCCTCGACTCGTATTGGTTTCCGTGGACCCTTCCGATCCTAGTGGGTGTCAGAAACTTCATGGTTTGGTGGTAAATGGATGTGGCCGCCTTCAGTGCCCTCAGCGTCGAGCGCCCTATGACCACGTTGTATTGGTCGCATCCCTTCACCACCAAGAACTTCGACATGACAGTCGAGGTGTGTGGTCGGTCTCCAATGGTCATAGGCAGCTCTATCGCCCCTTCAGGGATCACACTGTCCCCGGTGAAGCCATACAAGGGCTGTGCGCTGTTTTACAGCCTTGCGCGGGGGATTCCCATCTTGTCAAAGCAATCGGAGTACAAAATGTTCACCGAACTGCCGTTGTCGACCAGGATACGGCAAACCGTGTGGTTACCAATCATGGCCTCGACGACTAAAGCATCACTTTGGGGGAAATGCACCCCATTCGCGTCGGCCTCCGAGAAGGTGATCTCGGCCTCCTCGTATCGCGCTGTCTTGGCCTCACGTCCGGAGACGTTCATGACCCTCCGGCTAAACTTTTCCTTTGCCTCTCGCGTGTAATCCTTCTGTGCGCGATGAGAGGTGCCGCCGAGGTATGGCCCCCCAAATATCATTCTTATGACGCCGATGGGCTCGGGCGGATTGTCGTGCCTCTGCTCCTCCCTTTAGTCGTTGTTGCGTCGGTTGTTGTTGTTCCGACAGCCGGCTCGATACTCACTGAGCCTCCCTTCTCGGATCAACCTCTCGACCTCGTCCCTCAGGTCATAGCATTCGGCCGTAGTGTGCCCACTCTCGCCGTGAAACTGACAGTACTTATTTTGGTTCCTCTCATCTGTCGCCTGATTTTCTGACTCCTGCAGTAGCCGTTGGATGCCCTTCCCCAAGTTGATAAGACCGCTGATGGATTTGACTGGATACGCTATCTCGACGCAGTGGCCTCTAGCAGTCAAGTCATGGTGGTCAACGCATCTCATTGCATATGGTCTCTCGACGTAAATGCTACTTCAGCTACAATCTGTTCTCTCGACGCCAGCGACCGATCCTTGGCGGGGAATGCTCGGCGTTTGTCGTTTGATAGAGTGGTCGATTCCTCGACTATGGTGTAACAAATAACAAGATGCAAAAAACGCCAACGAACAAGATTTAATTCGGCCCATGTTTGACATGCGAACCACAACCGAGGATTGAGTAGTTCATTTAAACCAAACCCACTCCTTCCACAAAGCCAAGCCCCAAATCTCTTAATAAATCATTGCTAAAAACGAAACTTCTTGCCCAAAATGGACAAAAACGAAGACACCAAACACACACAACCGTTTGCTTCATAAGTTCAAATAAAAAAATTTTCAACATAAAATAAAATTTTTACAAGAAAAAACACTACAACAAATACATTTGAACTGTGGTTCTAAACTGTGAAACATTGATCACTTCTAATGCTTTATTTGCTGAATTCGTGCGCCTTTAACTTCTTGTAGTATTCATTCATGCTAAAAGGTCCATAATAATATATTGCAGTATGTATCAGCAGCTCAAAGAAAAGACACGAAGCAGACCCCTAGACTCACGATATCTCTGGAAGACATGACAACCATTCAGATTAAATCGAGCCGCTTGCTAGCATCACGAATTTTAAAATTTAAAAAAATAAATAAAAATAAAAAATAAATAAAAAAATCTTATATTCCTGTGAGAATTCTTCCTTGGTTTTTTTTGTATCAATATCATACAACAATCTGTGAGCTCGCATATAAAAGCAACATGGAAGTTTTGGGATAACTGCTTTCATGGACAAACCAATTTTGTCCTTTGAAATATGTAGTGCGAGCAACATTTAATCATTACGTGACCAAAAACAATCATATGTTGATCAAATCATCTCTCTAAGAATGTTATTCTTACCATCCACAATTGCATCCCCTTTCCACTTCCACTTCCACTTTAGTGAACTCTACAGTCAGCTATGTCAAATCACATAATAATTATTGAATGGAGGCCATGCTAAGATAGATTGATCCCTATTCCAGATCGAGACTCTTTTTCATGCTCTCATAAACCAGGTATGTGATACTTGCCGATGGAACTACTTTGAGCATATTAGGAAATATTCCTTTATAGAATCCCCTAAACCCTTCACGTTGGAAGGTTCTCCTGAATACATCTCCCATTCCTTTATAAGCACTGTCTGTGTTACAGCGCTGAGCTTGCATTCTGTGTTACGATGCAACATAGTACTTAAATCATTAGTTTTTAGTCTAAGGAAGCTGAAATACGAGAGGAAAAGGAAACTCACAAGTCACAAGATATTAGTACCTCGTCCTGACAACCTGCAACGGGTAAACGCATGTTGCTCCAAGAGCTCCAGATATTGTTCCGCATCCCAATTGCACAAGTGGACCGGCTTCTACGAAGAGTATATCTTGACATTACAAACTTACAACATAAAACATAATAGGCAATACAGACATTAAAAACAGGAAGATAAGGTCATGGAAGGGGAAATAAAGAGTTAACTCTTTGATAAAACCTCACCACCATCAAGAATATACTTCTTGGACAAATCTTTCAAGGTTTCATATGCAGCAAGATCGATACCAGCATACGGGATAATCCCAAGAACAGAAGGAAAAAGACCTCGATAGAATGCCCGGGGTCCCTCCTGAACCCATATATCTCTTGATAGGGTTCCTAGATTGGGAACTCTTCCACCTTCACCAGAAAAAGTTTGTAACCGGGTTTTAACAAGATCCATGGGATATATCGTAGTCTGGGCCACAGCGCCTGCAAAACCACCAGCTAAGAGGCGGCCCAAAGTGCCAATATCAGCTTTATCTTCATTGCCTTTAGCACTGGCAATGAAGCCTTTGAACATCTCGTAAGTATAGAACCGGATGGCACTTTCAGGGGCCACCTTCAAGACGTTAAGACCGTTCCCTCGAAAAAATCCTAATAGTCCGCCTTCTTTCCATATATCTCTTACAGCAGGCATGATACGAGCCTGCCCCATTTGCACTTGCAAAACAACCTTCAATCGATCAAGAGGAGCGGTGGCTGTGCGCGAGGTTGCGCCGGCAACTCCCCCAGCAATGAGATATCTGCTGGCGTGGACATGCTTACTGATTCCCTCCGGGATGACTGCCTGCTCCCCAATATCAACAAGGCATACCCTCTCCAAATAGTGGTAAATGTTCTCAATAGTAGCCTCGTGAGGGTAGAGCAGAAGGAAATCCCTCCACTCTTCAAAAGTGATGACCCCATTGTTGTCCTTATCGACGCGCTCGACGAAAAGGGCGAGCTCCTCGTCGTCTATTTCAATCCCTACAAAAGAGAGACTGGCGTGGCTTATATAGAATGAAAGAAAAAGGCTTTACCTTTAGTTATATGATTAATAATTGGAGAGAATTATAGAAAGATATATAGGAAGGAATGAAGAAGCAAATACGAATGGATGATGATGATGATGATGATATTAATAAGGAAAGCAAAGGTGATCTTCTTTCTTTCTTTCTTTCTTACCTGCTCCAAGGAGTGCATCGGAGAGCTCTTCGGGCAAAATGCAGCCATTGTGCTCAATATCAATGGCCTGAAAAATGCGGTAGAGCTCCAGCTCCTTGTCGTCCATGTAGCGCTTGAACTCCTGGTAATCAACTTGGCCGTCTTGATTGGCGTCGCAAACGTTGAGCAAATCCTTGGCGTACTTATAATCCGACGGAATCTGGAGAGATTTGAGACCCTCCTCTATCGAACCATAATCCAAATAGCCAGCGTTTGAGGCGTCGAAGTAATTGAAAAGACTCCTTATTCTCATTTCCCTCTCTTCCTTGGTCTCTCTCAACGCCATTAGCACGTGATCCATTGATATTGATATTGTCCCTGCCCCTGCTTTCTTCGTCTTCACCGTCTCTTTCGATTCCTCCATTTTTTTTCCTCTTTTTTGTTTACATAATCGGTCAAGATTTCAACCAAGAAAAAAAAAAAAATATATATATATATTTTTTTATATATATATATATTTTTTTTTTTCTTTTCTTTTCTTTTCCAAACTGAATTGAAGATTCAATTAACCGAAAATCATTTCAAAAATAACCCTGTATTCTAATAACATTGTAGGGGTGAAATTCTAGGTCAAAATAAATATATAGGATAAGGAAAGAGACAGAGTTACCGCGGAGAAGACGACGGAATTGGAATCACGGAGAGTCGGAATCAACCTGATCACGATGGGAATGGGGGAATGAAGATGGAGTTCAGCTGGCCGTTGGGGTTATTCCGAAAACTGCAAATGGGAATGGGAATGGGAATGCCGGGAGAGGGAGAAAGGGGAATCGACTGCCATAGCTGAGCGTTGCCTACCTACAACCAATTGCCACCACCACCATCAGATTCCCACAAACACAAACATCCCCTTTTTTTTTCTTTCTTTCTTTCTTTTTTCTTCTCTTTTCTTAAATGCAGATATTTCTCATTTTCTAATTTAGATTATGAAAATGTGATTGGAAATTTACAAAATTGTTTAATTTTTCGAGTAACTAATTATTATTTTTTGGATGGAAGTAATTACTACAAATTATATAACTTTATAGAAACAGTAGTGCTGAAATTTTAGACGGGCCGTCCGCAACTATCGAAAAGTCTGAATTTGCGCTCAATTACTGAACCCGAACTGTTCGAAAATTCAGGCTACCCGACCCGACCCGAATTTCTTCTTGGACGGGCTTTAGGCAGCAATTGGCTGCCCGTTGCCCGACCGCCTGCCCGAAGTTTCAAAAAAATTTTATATTATATTTTATATTGTTTAATGTATATATATATTTATTATATATATATATATATTACAATTTGAAATTTGAAATGAACACACGAACTATATAAAAAAATTATTTCTGTATTGATTTTTAAATTTGTAATTCATGATTGCATCATTAAAAACCTTACCAAGAAAAACCCAATTGGGATAAAAACTTAGTAAGGAAAAAAGAGTGCAATCATTATGGGACGAATTACAAATTTGACGAACTTATAAAGTCTATACAATATTACAATAACACTATACAAATTAGAAATTACAAAGTAAATAACTATTTACAAATTACAATTATAAAATTTAATTTGAAGCAGAATGATCGTCTTGAAAATTAAAAGTTAATCTATTAAATTCGTCGATCCATTATTGGCTTGCCGGTGAGATTGTATCGTGTAAGCGTTGGTCGGAACGGTCCTAATCTTTGATGCACACCAAAGCTTCAACAATATTCTGTTGCAATGCATTTCTCCGTTCTTCAAGTATTCGTCCGGTTGTACTGAATGCTTGTTCGGCTGCAATAGTGGAGACCGGGATCGAAAAAATATCCATTGTCAATCGTGTTAGGATTGGCCAAGTTAATGCTCGTGCCCCCTCCTCCACTCAACCAAATCAAACATTTCACTACTATCTACAACTAAGCCCTCACTCAGGTACGCCATTAACTCGTTGAATCTACCGCTGTTGCCGCCACCTCTTGATGAATATCCACTCCCAAATTCTTCTTAACCTTGAGTCCTCATCTTTTTCTTCTTCTTAGACAACCCAAAAACATTCAAGAATGAATGCGGTTGTCATCTCGTTGTTGCGGTTGCTCAACACGAGGTGTGTTTCTAAACCTACTTTCGTAAGAGATATAGAGAGAAAATATTTTTTCCTTTATAATATGAAATTGTTCAGTAGTGTCGATAGCTAAAAATTTACCTAAGTTATCTAATCCACTTTCTAAACCTTCTAATTTTAATCTATGGTCAAAAAATAACACCGAAACCATACAACATGGATAATTTAGACCAATATTTCTTAAACTTCTTTTCCATAGAGGCGATAGGAACTCCTAAAACCTCGTGTGTCCTAAATTCACTAAATAAAATAGACATTCTTAAAAGTTCTCCTAACGCTAATGGTGACGTTGGGTAATAAGTTCCACTAAGCTTTAAGGTAACTTCGTGAAATCTACCTAAAAAGTTATACAAGAGTTCGGCAATTTACCAATCAGTCTCATCTATAAATCCTGGTCCTAATTTTGCACTAACATAATTTGTTATAACATCTTTATAGGGGATGCATTGTTCAAGCATTATGTAAGTGGAGTTCCATCTTATAGGCATATCTAAGGCTAATGTTCTAGGATTAGGATTTTGATTACATGCTTGTAGAAATCTAAACCAATCTTGTACTCTTTGATTACTGCATTGAATCCAAGTAATTTTATCTCTAATTCTTTTAATATGACCTGACATTGATTTTAAACCGGATTTTACTATTAAATTAATTATATGACATGCACATCGTTGGTGAAATATATCATTATTACCGAATAAACTTAAATTATTTTCAAAAAGTTATATTACTTTAGTGTTTGCAGTTGCATTATCTAATGTTATAGTCATTATTCTATCTCTTAAACTATATTCATCAATGACAGATAAAATTGTGTTATATATTAAATTGGTAGTATGTGATCCTATAACACATTTAATGCTGGTTTCCGAATCGAATTCGGGTGCGGAAGCGTGGGGATGAAAAACAGCGGATCGTGTATAACAAAATTTTTCATAAAACTTTTGAGATACTCTATAGATTATATTAATTTATGCA